TTAACTGGATAAATATTCAACAGCAGACATTTGTTAGAATCCTCTAAAAGTGAAAGTTTAGATTCTCTGAAGTACTGTCGTGTTCTGCAGAAAGGTTATGAACAATTAATATTTAACTTGTTGCAGATAGCTTTTTGTATAAACAGTTTGGTGCAAAAAAAAAAGTTTATTTCTGATTGTATTCATGAGCTAATAGCTAGTCTGGGCAGGAACAAGAGTTAAGCAGTCATCTTAAAACACTTCCAAACGTAAAATTTATAGCATTTACAGCAAAACTTAAATTGCCACCATTACACAAACATTTGAAAAGGGAAAATAGCAGCAGCAGCTAGTTGAAGCAGCCTGGACACTTTGTGCAGAAATATATAATATTCTAACCTTGTTATGCAAAATTGAAAGAAATGTGCAGGGCGTCTGCATGACCTAGGAGAATGTTTGAGATTGAAGTTGTTTAAAGATGGCAGTAGTCCACACTGATCTTGGCCTCACTCAGAATATAAATCAGTTTATCAGTCTGGTTAGAATCAAACTAATTCTTCCATGGATGGTCCTCAAGTTTGCTCAATAATCCAGGTAAATAATCCAACACTGTTCAGTCAGGCCATCTAGACAATTTAACGTCTTTAAAAAAAAAAAGAAATAGTCCAGATGGCCTGACTGAACATTGTTGAAATCTTTAGTTGGATTATTGAGCATGAACCTTGATGTCTTGAGCCACTTTGGCTGTGGCTGCATGAGAGGAGTCGATGGGAGAGAGGACGGCCCCCATCTTATTACCAACAAACTGGTTGGTCCACTATAGGAGTGTACTGCTTAGTGGGGAAACAGTTTGTTTGTGACTCCTCAGATTGATGAAGCCCCAGACGTTTATTAAAAAAAAAAAAGAAACTGTCCAGATGGCCTGACTGAACACTGTTGGGTTCCATGGATGCTGTAGACGTTGTGACTTGATTGCAGACTAGAAAACAGAATTTGAAACCAGTTTCCCTATCAGCTAATTATAATGCAAAGTTTAATTCCACCTTTGCATAAACAAACAGAACATTGCCCTGGGTAACAAAAAAAAAAAAACAACAATCTCAGGCATGTAGTGCTTACCTTGCTGCTGCATATTTAAACACTCAATTTATTAATATGTTAATTGGTATTAGTTATTTCATGCTTTAAAAAATGAAAACCAAGATTGTGTGGGAGTAGGTGGGACTTGAAACCCCACATCTCGAGTGCACAGACTCTGGTTACAAAAACGTAACATGGTGAAAACTGAGTCCTGTTGCCTTCAATTCCCAACAATAAGAGGAAGCATCGTCATTTATTCTATAATAAATACAGTCTATAATTTCTACTAACTGAAGTCATTCAAATAGCTATCCGCAACAGGTAAGATAATCATTGTTCATAACATTTCAAAAGCACTTTGCTTCAAAATGATCATAAGAAACTGAGAGGTTTAATTTAAAGTTTATTAAGCTTAAAATTTACAAAAAATAAAACAACATTCACCAACAGAGTAACTAGACGTCATGTAGAAATTGTACGTTATCACGTGACAACATGGGATTCCCCTGCGTGAGTAGCAGTATGCGAAACACTCCAAGGTTAATGTGAACTTCCCATACATAAAACTACTTTTTTTTTTATGTGGAAAAAAATATGTTAAATTAACATATCCTGATGCATGCTCAACAATCCATGTAGATAAATCTAACAAGGTTAAGTGAGGTCCTCTGGTGAAGAATCCGTCCAGAGGTCCTGACTTAACCTTGTTAGATTAAATCAACATGTTCAACATGTCTCGCAGGTCTCCGGGAATTTGCACATAAACATTTTTGAGTTTTTCAACATGAGATCACAGGAAAATGTAGTATATTAACACATTAACCTTATTGTGAGTATTTATAATGCCTTCTGATGTCTTATTGTGAAGTAGTTTATGAAGTGTGCTTAAAAGCTGACCTTGAACATATCAGAGCAATAACTCAAATTCTGTTTGCTTTCACCACATCCCTCCACTCCCACTTCTACTTCACCTCCAGATCTTTCTCTCCCACACACACCCTGCCCCACGCCATGCTCCTATAAATTGGTTGAGAATCACATCAGCACATCAGTGGGTTGGACAGAAACCTGCCTTTTCAGATTCTCGCTGCCGCCACAGCCATGACTTCAGCCGGAGGCCTCATTGCCTTTTGCGTAACTGTGCTGACACTTCTCGGTGCAGCTCTGGGAGGTAAGACTTCTTGCACATTTTGTGTGATCTTCACACTCTGAAGCTATCAGTCGTTATTTTGCCTTTTTGTTTTATTTCAACAGAAACCAAAGGTTACATCTTGAATGAGCCAAACATCCCGTTTCCACCTGCCCGTCCCACTTTACAGAATCTGGGCAACATCTGTCTCCACGGTCCAAGCCGTCCCAGATATCCTCACAACTTCTTCCCGTCCTCTGGTTTCAGCTACTTCCGCCGCATTGGGCGCACCATCAACCGCCTGGAGTCATGGTACTCTTTGTGCTGCAGAGGACTAGCACAAGACATCAGCCAGATCCTCTGCTGCACGGAGCAAGCTGTGAGTTTCTATCAAAAAAAGGCAGACCCTGCTCATAATTTCTTCATGACGAAATAAAAATTCAAGGTTTTCACGCCTTATTTCTGGTATATGTCTGATAAGAACATTATGCGTTCCGAAAGATACCAATCTAATAATTCTTCACATAAAGTGTAACATTTTAGACAACCGGACACAAATAAAGTAGATGTTCTATGTGTTGAAATCAAATTCAAGCAAAATTAAGCAGATTATTCCTTACAGAAGCCAAGAGGAATTATAATATTATAACATTATCTTCAGATAATGACTTATTTCACTATCCTGTGACAATGAGGCTTGTTTTGTTTGAGGGAAGGTTAAACGGTATCACAATATGGAGATAACAAACCTCGTTGTTGCAAAGATTTCCCCATCCTTTTGCGTTTCATGACAGCAATATTGAATTTTTTAAATAGGTGTAACATAAGCAAGCAATAGAGTTTCACACTATTAAAATCTTGTTTTATCAAAACAACTAACAAGTGTAATGATTATTCTCAGAAATGTGCATCCTGTGGAGACATGCTGCGTGATGGGGATCAGTTTATTTGGATGCCTGAGGTTGATCACAGTGTCACCTTCACATGACCTTCCCAGCTATCTCTGTTTTAGTCTTTAAACAGTGTCTTGACCCTGAGTTTGTGAACATTTTCATATTTGTAAAAACAAGATTTAATCTTTTATTTTTTTTCTTACAGTGGAAACAAACCCTGTCTCAGTTCTGTAAGGAGGAATTTTCCTTAAAGACTACGCCGTACGAGTGCTGCGAGACTAAAGGAGATGAAAGATGGACCTGCTTCAACAGCCACCTGCCAAATCCACATTACATTGGAAACCCAGGCTACACTTCTCCTGCAATGCCTGCAGAGCCAGAATTCTCCTTCGACCCAACTACTTGCATTAACTGACCACAAGAATCACTGAAATGCATCCATTAGGTAGAGGAATGAGCATAGCGTTCATCTTTATCTATATCTCGTCTTCGTCCAGCAGTCAGAAAAGCAGACACTACTTTGGTCGATGCTGTGAAGGAGATTAATAGTCCTAATTGTCAGTCATTTGTGTTAATCTTTTTTTAGATATCAGGAAACTTGTTTTCAAGACATTTAAATCCTCACTTTCACAACTATCACTAAATGTTTCTTACATTCATATCGCACTCTTTTATAAATAAGATATTATGAAAGAAATAAAACAAACAAGCAAACAAATACATGTGTGCATCTTTTTTCCTGATAAGAACTGGAACGAAACTATAATAGATTTTGAGTTGGCTGTTGGATGAATACTTTAAACGTGTGTTCTGCCAAACTTTAGATGAAATGTGCAATAAAAGCCATAAATAAATGTTTATATAAATATTTTGACAGAATCATGTTATTAGTAAAGAAGTGGGTAAAGATAATGGATGGATGGTTGGATGTTAGTGTGGGCCAGGGTCATTCATGTCACATAAACAAATGCTACGCTTCAAAATAAAAGCAGAACCAGGAAGTGCTGTTTTCCAATGAAATATCACTTTACCTGTGTTCATAACTCCAACAACTTTATTGTTTAGGGATAAATGTTTAGAGATCACAAACATGTCAAAGCATAGCATTTTTAACATTTTGCTAATTTGGTTTGAGTTGTCCCTAAATAGGCCTTTAATTTCTTTTAACGATTTAAGACGTTTAAATATAAGCACAAAACATGATGAAACTAGAATAAAATGTTTCTTGGAAAGAAGCCATATGAATACTGAGTGCTGGTTGGTTTGATCAGATTTGGTGAAATAGGTGAAACTAACTTTCCATCTAACAAGGATGAGTGAGGTTTCGTAAAAAACATAAAATCTTTCATCAACTATAAATGAATTATCAATGATTTATAAATTTATCAATGACAAAAGATGAAACGTTTCAACAGAAGAAGAATTTTTCCAGAGGATCTGATTCATCCTTGTTAGATGAATCTTCCTGGTTTATTATTACATCAGGACATTTTTACAAATTTCGGTGTTAGTTAAAATATTTAACGAAGAAAAATCACAAGGAAGAGAAGGATAGACAGAAAAGCAAAAAGCATTAATGTAAGGACACACAATATAATGGCAAAAACCAACAGACATGTTTCTGTTTATAGCATTTTACATAATTCAGCTGTTTTTTGTTTCATTTTTATATCCTTTCTTCTATTTACTTTTTCATTTTACATGCTTTTTATATGATTGTCTATTGTTGTTTGTACCTCATCTGTGTTCTTTGTTTAAAACAGGTCTCTCTTGTAAATGAGTCCTTGAGGATCAATGCGACCAACCTGTATAAATAAAAGTTGAATGAATGAGGGATGACTTCCGGTTTTGCTTTTCCGGTTTTATTGTGAAAAGCCCCGCCGTCACCGGAAACGCAATGCGTGTTCCGTTCCGCAAGTTCCTTTTTTTTTTCTCCTTTTTTGTCACGAAACTGCCGTATCCGCATCGCTTCCTTGTTTACTTGTTCTGGGGGAAAATTCCATGTAAAAGACGATATTTTTTTTCTGGTACCTCGCGGAAATAATTTACAAGAATATCGAGTAAGTTGACTGTTTGTTTGTGTTATTTCTGTTTGTTAAATCTGCTCTGAACGATACCTGGTTAACAGTTAAGCAAAGTTAGCTGCTAGCTTTCTCGCTTCGCTTACCACAAAGTACTTTTTTATTAGTAAATTTAACCAGTGAAAACTTCTGCTGCTATAATTTATGGTTATTTTCCTGTTAGATATTTATAATTTCACTGATAGTTTGTCTAAACTTAGTGGATAAGTCTCGTTTTGTACTTGTTCGGATTAGCCGACTATGAAGTCACCTGAAAAGTATTTCATTTTTTTCACGAGCTGCTGTTTGTCCTCACAGATCCACGTCTAGATCTCGCGTGCCACTAAAACAAGAGTTTGGTGGTTGTTTTTGTCTGAATGGCCACAGCTTTAGAGGAGCCTCCGGGTCTTCAGGGCCAGACTCTCAGTAAGTACTGTGTTATTATTAAAATACCACATTTTCTTTACAAAAGCTTCAAATTATTGTTTCAGATGCGTTTGTTTGTATAAATACAGGAGGTCAGTGTTTTTGTTTTCGTGGTCCCATTGTATGCAGGTATTTAAATGAAACATTTAATTGTCAGTTTTGCCTCAGGACAACCCACTTCTTTTGTTTTGGAGCAATGTTTTGTTATTTCTGGTTATCGTCTTCAGCTGCTGTCAACACACTTATTACAGGACTGGATTTAATTTCATTGTTGTTGTGTTTTTTTAATTCTTGGTAATGAATAGGTGTGGTGGTGACACTGTTCGTTAAATACAACTAAAGTTTATGTGTGCTTTCATCTGCAAATCATTCTTTATAAAATAAAATCCATATTACTTAATGAAGCGGATCATGAATGTGCTTCCAAAGCTTTTAAATAAAATTAAAATGAAGGTGCAATAAGATTTATCGTACCTATATCTTTCTAACATGCATAGTTTGGCTGGAAAGTGACTTTAACCATTTTTTTTTATTGTAAGGTATTTAGCATGATTAAAGCTGTCCTGGATTGTTTTGTTTAGATACGCATTGGGCTTATCAGTGCTCACTCATTTCAGCCTTGTTTACTGTTTGTGGCTTAAGTATGTTTGGCAGACTGAACAAGACAAATATTTCACATTTTTTTAATTCAGGAGAGATTAAGATCATAAAATGCTGCATTTTTTGTGACCACAATATTTTACAAGTGGTTTTTGTCTTAGTTTATATTAATACTTTTAAAATTTTGTGTCTATTTTGAGTCAATCTATTTACTCAGAGTTTTATGTCACCAGCGCAGATTTAACTCATCATTCTTATCAGGGGAGTTTTTTTTAAGTGATAGAGCTCTTACAGTGGGTATTATTTATTTTTATTCAACTTGATGCCATATCAATAATTAAAAAAGCTAATCTAAAGGAGATAGAAACTGTAAAATCAGCTTTTATGTATTTTACCTTTAGAGTGTTTTATATTTCCTCACTGGCCATGTTTGAACACTCTTTAATAGTGCACATATCTAATTCCTCCCGTTGCCTGCAAAGACCTGCAGGGTGCTGGCTTCTGTCAGAGGTAATAAATGAAGTTTGTCTGCATGCTTGTGTTGGAGCTCAGCTGTGCTCTCTGCTTTTTAGTAGGTCAAAATGATAGTTATTTGAAGCAGTGCTATTTTATGGCATCTAGTGAAAAATACTGCTTTTGCTTGTTTGCCAAATATTTCTTTCCCGTTTGTAATTTGTATCTAATTTGTCTTCGCTATCTTTTCCCTCTCCAGATCCAACAGATGCGAGAAGAAATGCGTCATCAGAGGTGAGAATCAACAAGAGAGAAAGTGTGTAAAAGGGTTTCGTGCCAGTTAGGAAATACAAAATGTAATCACTGTAACATGACGATGTTTAGCAATTTTTTGCAGACGTGTTTTCTTCTCTTTCCTGTTTGAATCATAAGAAAGTTATTGCTTCAGACTTGTGAGTTTTCTTTTTTCCTTTTTATAACGTTTTGCTGGTTTGTGTTTGGACTGACAGGGTCCGAGCATCGTCATGTCTCCAGCCATGAAAAAAACGATTGGCCATCGAGGAATTGATCCCAAAGGGGAGACGACGTACAAAAAGGTGCCATCATACCCACACAAGCAGCTACAATTTTTTTTTTTTTTTCATTTTCCCCTTTTGAATATAAAAAAATGTTTAGGCTGTAAAGCTGTGAAAATTGTTGACTCGAGTTTTTAAAGTTTCTAAAGTATTTTGACTAATGTATACCAAATTTATTTGCTTTAAGTCACAAATTTTTCTCCACTTGTTGCTAATAAATAATCTACGATAACTTGTCTTGTTCAGTTAAACATATGTAGATCGAAAATGTTAAAATTATCAAATTCTGTTTACAGGATTGCATTTTAATGCTTTTAGACTAAATATTTACTTTGTATTCGAGCCATTTTAGCTAATAACAATGAAAAAGATAAATATTGAGGAAGTGTGTTTATTAAAAAAATATATATTTATAAAAACTGAGAAAAACAAAAATCAGCTTTCTGTTGTCAATAAATTCTACATAGATCAGATTTGTCACACTTCAGACGTACTTTTTGTCTGTGATGAACTATCTAAAGTAAAATTTTGTAGTAAGAATGTTTAGTACTTTTGATTCTAGTCCTATTATAAGGAACCATGAACAGAAGCAAGAAGTTTAGGGTCTAACTGTTGCAGTTTCACTTCTGTTAATCCACAGAATCTGTAGTTTATTTGCCTTTGATTCATTCCAACACATTTCCATGTCTGACTTATCCTCTTAAAATTATGACATTACATTTATATGTTCTTCAGTTTTCTTGTAATGTTTTAATTAACCTTTTAAATACAGGACTGAATGTCAGACCTTTTTTAAAAAAAAAAAAAAACTAACTATAACAACTTTTAATCCTCACCAACAGTCACTGGAAAAACACTTTGAGTAATTGGTAACTAAACCAGACCCCTTGTTGTGCTGTTTGCAAAAAACAAAAACTTAACTTTATGTCAACTTAAAATCCATAATTTGTACTTATTCGTTGTGTTGGTTAGTTTACATTGCAGGATTTAAAATATTTTGTAGATGATTCTCATAATTTTCAGCATTTTAAATGTTTTTTTTTCTTGCTTTCTTTCAGACAACGTCATCGGCTCTGAAGGGGGCGATACAGTTGGGCATCACGTATACGGTGGGCAGCTTGAGCCAAAAACCTGAGAGAGATGTGCTGCTGCAGGACTTTGAGGTGGTGGAAAGTATCTTCTTTCCCAAGTGAGTTTTGAGAATTGTGCAGCGAGGAAATGTTGTGAAGGTTTCGCCCCTACCACCACAAGACTTTCATAGTTTGTTTTGCCATCTTTTTGTGAATTGCTTTTTTTTGTTTTGTTTTTTTGGCAGTGAGGGCAGTAACCTGACACCAGCTCACCACTATGGAGACTTCAGGTTCAAAACGTACGCTCCAGTTGCCTTTCGATACTTCAGAGAGATGTTTGGCATCCGCCCTGATGACTACATGGTACCTTGCTTTACGCTGCATTTATTCTATTTGGAAAAAGTGCTGTTAAGAAAGCAAAAGAGCAGAGAATAATGAGAAGAATAGAGTGATTGAGTAACTGGAGAGACTGAAACTGGGAAAGTGTGAAAAAATGAATGTTGACACAAGAGAAGTGGAACTTTTGTCTTTCTGAAAGCCCTTTTTTTTTTTTTACAGTACTCCCTGTGCAATGAGCCGCTAATTGAGCTGTCGAACTCCGGGGCCAGCGGATCTCTATTTTATCTTTCTAGTGATGATGAATTCATTATTAAGACAGTGCAACACAAAGAGGCAGAGTTTCTACAGAAACTTCTGCCAGGATACTTTATGGTAAGAACTCAGACTGTGCAGAAATGGTACATGCTGAATTATGATTGTCCAGTTAGTTTAGCTCGTCAGCGTCTTTGAGTGTGCATCTACAGTTAGTTTTCATTCACAGAATTTCACTTGAAGGCAGTGGCAGTGAAAAACTTTCAACTACAACTGCACTAAATTTTAGCTCAGTATCTGTCATGACTGAGTTATAGGCATTTTTGTGTTTTCTAAGATCAGTTAGCTTTAACAGCCATCTTGATTTGGACTGACTTCAAAAGTTAATCAGTTGTCAATGTACAACTAATAATAATTTCCTGACAGTTTTATTGCAAATCCAATCAGTGGTTCTCGAGATATTTTGGCAACAGACACACCAACTCATACAGAAATGGCCGAAAACATCATTGCCCGCCTGTTGGCAGTGCACCATAAAAAAAGCTTCCACTTGGAGTATTTATGTCTAATCCGAAAACAAACTTGCATCACATACAGTTATTTAAAAAAAACAAAAACATGTTTTTGTAAATCATCATTTCTCTTTGACACAATCTTGACTTTGGGATAGATCATCAGTCAGAACTGATTCTCCATGATCATCTTGGTGAGAATTTGTCTACTGTGTTGACCAATTTCAGTTAAATTCTGTTTATTTATTATATAGCGCCAAGTCACAACAGAAGTCATCTCGGGGCACTGAACAGAAACATTTACCGGTATATATAAAAAATAATAAGTTAACAGAAACATTAATAATTTAACATTATTTGTCTGAGCAGCAGACTGCTTTGAATTTAACTCCATCACAGAACTCTCATCTTGAGCAAGCATGAAGGCGACAGTGGAAAGGAAAAACTCCCTCATGAGGAAGAAACCTTTAGCAGAACCAGGCTCAGGACAAGCGGTCATCTGCTTCGACCGGCTGGGTTTGGTAGGAACAGATACACAATGGCAGGTCAAGAATCACATGTTAAGATAAAAACTATCAAATGAAAACTATTCAATTTAAAAAAAATATTTAAGGACATTATTCGTCCAGTAGTCTAAGCCTATAGCAGCATAACAAGCCAACCCTAACTATGGGATTTTTCAAAAAGGAAAATCTTCAGTCCAGTCTTAAACACTGGACAATGTGTCAGCCTCACGGACAGAAATTGGAAGTTGATTCCATAAGAGAGGAGCCTGATAACTGAAAGATCTTCCTCCCATTCTGCTTGTGAAAACTCTAGGAACCACTAGTAAGCCTGCAGTCTGAGAGCGAAGTGCTCTGTTAGGAAAATTTGGAACAATAAGATCTCAAATATTAGAGCTGGAGGCCAGATTAATGAAATCCAAGGAGGGCGAAAGACTGAAAAAATAATTCCTAAGATGCTCAGACCCAAAAACTAAAACCTCAGTCTTGTCTTTGTTAAAAAGAATAAAATTAAGGGCCATCCAGGTTTTTATGTCTTTAAGACATGCTTGTAGTCTAAGTAGCTAATTGGATTCATTGGGTTTCATGGAGAAATATAACTGTTTCATCAGCATAACAATTCAAATTTATCCCATGCTGTTAAATAACATTATTTAATGACCAGAAAAGCTTTTTCTGAAATAATTGGAGATTTTAAATTGCAAACACTTTGATTCCTCTGAAAAAGAAGTTGAATAATTACCAGTAACTTACCCTGAACTCAAATCAGAATAATTTACCTTTTTTAAAATTATTATTTAATTACTTTATTTACTCAAAAATATCTGCAGATGATCTAACATGAAACCATTTACAAGTTTCAGTGCTAAGGTCAGATAAATAATGTTGTTATTGAGAGTTTTGAAATACTTTTCCTGCCAGACATCGGTTCTGCGATGTGTTCCTGTTTGTGTTTGATGGTGCAACATGTGAGGCGAAGTGGTTGGTGATGCATTTTTGAAACAATCCTAACTGCATTGACACACTTCTGTCTGTTTTTTTCCTTTAACACGATATAGTTAAAAGTTTCTGTTGTCGTTCGGGTCACTTACGCCTTTTTCCCTCTTATTGCTGGTCTGTTGCAGAATCTGAACCAAAACAAGAGGACCTTATTGCCAAAGTTCTACGGGTTGTACTGCATGCAGACCGGTGGTAAAAACATCCGTCTTGTAGTCATGAACAATTTGCTCCCCAGCGCAGTGAAAATGCACCAAAAGTTTGATTTAAAAGGCTCCACTTTTAAGCGGCGAGCTTCGCCTAAAGAGAGAGAAAAAAATGTGCCCACTTTCAAAGACCTGGACTTTATTCAGGACATGACAGGGGGGCTGTTACTGGAGGCGGACAAATACAGTGCTGTTTGTAAGACCATCCAGAGAGACTGTTTGGTAAGATGCTCTTCAAAAACATAAAATCATGAAACCATTAAATAAAACATTCAGATTTTAATGTCTAATTCATGAGCTTCCATTTCTTGTTTTTCTACTTGGCTTCAGCTCTTGCAGAGTTTCAAAATTATGGACTACAGTCTTCTAGTGGGAATTCATAATTTAGACCAGGCCTGTCGGGAGCAGGCCAGCCAAGAGGCTGCTGCTTTGGACCAAAGGAAGCCCCAAGTCCAACAGAAATCTTTGTACAGTACAGCTATTGAGGCCATTCAAGCTGATTCTGGAGGCGCGGGATCAATGGAGCCAGAGGACACGTGAGTAACCCTGGAGGGTTATTTGTGTAGTAACTTTATTGTTAAAAGTCTATTTGCTTTGAAAACCTGATTGAGACAAATCGAGACTCACTCACTAACCGTGCTTTTTTTGTTTTCCTCCAGAAATGGAGGAATTCCAGCACGAAACGCAAAAGGCGAGAGGCTGCTGGTGTACATGGGCATTATTGACATTCTGCAGTCCTACAGGTATGAAAGCACGTTTGGCCACTGTTTTGTGTGTTTTTGTGACGTAAAACAAAAGAATCAAAGACAGAAGAACAAGGTTCACTTGGCCTAAATGAAGCTGTGCAGCAAGTTTGTGCTGCTTGTTTGGTCTATAAAAGCCACAATGATCAGTTTTTATGTAGGGATACACCCATTGCTTGGCATGTGACCACAATCAGACTATTTTAGCTCGACATGCTTCAACTTGTTTGCTTTTTTCTGGGTTCCTAAATCCATCTTAGTTAATTTGCACAAGCAGTGACTTGTTTGCAATGTGAACATTTTTTAACTGATTGAATAAATAAGACATAACAGCAGTTACATAACTTAAAAACAATTAAAAGACCTAATAAAGTACAAGCAGCCTAGCATAAAAACAACCAAAAATCCCATGACATCAATTTGATTAAACTGAAAAGTCTCAGATGTCAAAAAACAAGGAGAAGAGATGGGTTTTAAGAGGTAATTTAAAAATAGACAGGGAAGAGGCTCCTTTAATGTCTAAAGAGGCTCGTTTAATGTCTAAAGACAGGTAATTTAGGAGCAGCAACAGAAAACGCACCATCTCCTCTAAGGCCCTGTTTACACGAAAACGATTTCTGGTGAAAATGGAAGAGTTTCATTGCCTCTGTAATGTTCATTTACAGGAAAAGCACAATTTGAGAACGGGTTCCAGAGTGCATTGGTTCAAAAAAATCCCGGTGTCCGTTGTTGTGTAAACAAAAAAAATTGATATTTTCGGTCAGGGAATCCCTGGCTCATGCGCAGTATGATGCAAAACATAACGGCATCCTACAATCCACAGAAAAATAAACTATCAACTGGCATGATTCCCAGTCAATGTTCTCTTGAAATTTGGTGGTTTTATAATTTAAAGTCACCCTAAGCAACAGTTGAACCTCGCCGTCTGTCTGTAGAAATATTTTATTCTCTGCCATCTTGACCATTGTAGCGGCTTTCAGGTAGAACATTTTTTTAATGCATGCGCGCTTAGAGTTTCAAAGAACATAGCACTAAGGGAGGGCGAGGGAATTACAACTTTTCCACGTCTACCGTTGCTGTGTAAACAGAAATTATAATTAGAACGTTTTCATGTAAATGTGTTAATAGAAATGGGAAAAATAATTCAGTTTTCATCGGATCGTTGTCGTATAACCAGGGCCTGAGTCTCAGTTTAGTTTTAGGGACACCCGGGAGCAACGAGTCCACTGACCAGAGGGAACAGGCGGGTGTGTATGAGTGTAACAGCTCAGAGAGGTACGGTGGGTTTTTTTTTTTTCAAAAATGTTGTTAATTAAGTGTGTCTCTAATGAAAAATACCCCACGTTTAAAAGTATAAAAATTGTATTAACACTATTAAAGAACAGATCTTAAGTATTTATGTTGCACAGATATTTCCATTGCAATAAAGAGACAATTGAAGCAAACTATTTAATAAATATGAGGGTTATGAGGGGGTCCTGGAAACGTTTTCTCCCCTGTAAGGGGTCCCTGAGCCCAAAAAGTTTGAGAACCCCAGCCTTAAGGGCTTTAAAAGAAAAATTAATTGTTAAACGGATCCTAAAATGTACAGGCAGCCTCAGCAGTGAGGCGAAAATGGGAGAAATACACTCATGTTTTCTCGTCAGTGTAGACGTGCAGTGGGTTTTTGTTCCCTCTGGAGGTGAGCAACAGAAGGAAGTACTGGATTACCGTCTCACGTTTAGAAAGAAATGGTTTGACTTTAGCCAGGTATCTCACTTGATTTAGCTATCTGTACGATGTTTGAAAAGGTTAGAGGGAGCTCAGGAGGTGTAAGAAGCTGCTAAAAGATTTTGAGGTATCCCTGTTGCTCAGAGACATTTAGGATTTTTTTTCTTTGTAATTTTCCAAATCTTATATTAGACGCTTTTGCAATTTTTGTTGAACCAAAGCCTAGTCCAAAGATATATGCTCCAGAACTTGATGCTGTATTTAAAGAAATGTAAACTCATTTACAGTACTCTAAATGCATTTTTTTTTTTTTTATGAAAAGTCAAATTTTCTATAACAGAAACAATGTATGTTGTCACATTTAGCTCTTGGGGATGAATCAGAATCTACAGGTCAGATTTGTACAAAAATCACTTTTCTGAATCGACCTAGAAAACTGCAGTTGGATGTCGCTACTGTGCATTTTGTGAGAATCATCAAAAGTTTTGTCCCGTATCTTTGATGATAGAGCTGAGATGTGTGTTGTTGTTTCAGGTTTGTAAAGAAGCTTGAACATTCCTGGAAAGCCCTGGTTCATGATGGAGTAAGTTGTCTCTATTTGTTAGTTTATCGTGTCTTAAGAAATACAGATGCTCATAAAGGTTTGTTTTCTCAGGACACTGTATCAGTGCATAAGCCAGGTTTCTATTCAGACAGATTTCAGAAGTTCATGTGCAACACAGTCTTCAAAAAGATGTCAAGTAAGTTTATATTGTCAATCTAAATGTAAATACATCTCTGTTGTACTGTCTGAAGTTTTGATTTATGCTTTCCTGTTTTGTGTCCAGTGAGGTCTTCCCCAACTAAGAAGCGCCGTGCCAATGGTCCATTGAAAAAACCTGCTACTCCTGGGACCTCTATGTGGACTCAAACTAACCTCAACAACCACCCGCTTTCACTCCAACATCAAATCAGCTCTGACACCTTAGAAGACAGTGATGGAAACTACGGTAAAGACTGGATAAAAGAACGTATCTGCTGAAGAAAACATGCCATGTTTACTGATAGCTTCCAACATGTGCCAGCATGTGAATCGCTTCCTTCACAACACAGTAAAAACGGCTTTATCCTCCTCTTCCACCCAGCCTTGCAGTCAGGTCGTCCCGACCTCCTCCCACAGATACCACCCAGCAGCACTCCTGTCAACACTCCTGGAGCCTCAGCTTCCTCCTCCCTGTTTAGCTCAAGGTTTGCTCCTACAGTTCACTCTCCAGCTCACTCCCAGGAATCTTCAGAATCAGGGGGAGAAAGTGAAATTAAGGCAAAGTTCAACGACCAGGAAAGAAGCTCCCCCAAGAGGTAAGAGGGGATATAAACAGTAAGTAGATATAAAACTAGTTGGGAGCTGTTATTTCCTATAACTTGGTAAATTTGGGGTAGCACACAACAATGAAAATGCTTCACATATTTTATATAAATTACTTCCCGAGACCCTGCATCTTGATATGAAGACAATGGCGTTCTACTAAGAAGTAGGGCTCAACGATTAGGGAAAATGTTCTAATTGCGATTTTTTTTACCTCAGTATTGTGATTTAATATGCGATTATTTTTCAATGTCTTCTCGTATTTTTCAACTAACACAAGCAATAAATCAATCTGTTTCAGTTGCAAAAAAATCCACTGTTTTCAACTCCGCTGCTACTCTGTTTATGCATCTTTTGTACAGCTCCATGATAGCAACTTGGCTAAAATGTGTGTGCGAGGGCATTCTGTATCGCTTATCCATTGTGTTTACCAAAGCTGTAAACCCAGGCTTGGTCACTATATTAAAATTATGTAATTATTATAATCAAATTATGTTCATACAGTGTAATACCTTCGAGCAGGGATCCCTGTCGGCTGGTACTTTACTTACTTGAAGTTGAAGCACTTGTCGTAGGCATTCTAGCCATGCAACTATCGTAAATGGCTTTGTGGAGTTTTTTAAGTGTTGATAAAGATTTGAGGTGTTACCTTGAGAGGTAGCAACAGCAGCAAGGCAGGTTTTGCACAATACATGCCGTTGCGTAGCGTCTTCTTTTTTATAGCCAAAATAATTCCAGTCAACGGCCGTGCTGCTCCTCTTTGGTACCAAACTTTTCAGATGTGTCAGCTTCTGCCGAGCCTGACGCGATTGTGCAACCGGTTAAAACACAGTGTTGACTTCTGCTCCCTGCTCTGCTTTGCTTCGCTCTGCTCACTCTCCAGTCACGTAACCAGATCACGTGACTAGTCAAATTGCAGCCTTTACGATTAGAAAATCTCGTTTTATCATATCACGATATTATTGCAAATGCAATTTATTGTTCAGCCCTACTAAGAATGGGCTTTTTAAGCGTAAACATTTACATACATATATACATATACATACATACATATATATACATACATATACA